AATCACCAAGTTTTTGAAACTTGCCACATCATTAAACACCACTAAAAGCCACACAGAACAAAAACATTATCACTAGAGATACATCGCTTGAGCACAGGCTCATGAAGGAAGATGTTTTTACAGCATTTCCTGAAAAATCCACATAATTGGATAGCCTCTACAGTGGAGCTGCCTCTTCCCTGCTGGGTCTGAACATACCTCTTTTGGCAAGGAATTACTTAGCGCCTAGCAGCAGGACTAGCAGTGGTCTCTCTCTCTCTCTGTCATGACCAAGTTGGACACGGCACTTGTGTTGACACATCTTGGGTTCAAACTCCTGCAGACTGCAGGCAGTCTTTATGTTTGAAATCATTCACAGAAAGTACAGTTTGGAACGATTTAGGGGTTTCTTTGTGGAAGTATTCTACTACCACTTAACATGAAATATATAGGAACTGCCTCAGTGCTGGTCAGTTCATTAAAGAATCAACTGTTCTTTCTCCATGTCCACTTTTAGGACCTATTTTTGAGAGCTTTTCTGGTCACATGCAGGCTGGATATTAAATGAAACTGGAGAGCCTATCTGAAGCACCAGCAAGAGGGAATGTGAGAGCTAAAAGTGTGGGAAATCTTGAGAGGAGCTTGAACATGCTGTCAAAACAAGGATTAGTCAAAAAATACCATCCTCTGCAGCCCAAAATGTGCCTGTCAATGCACCAATGCTTAATCCAAGGCAGCCCTCCAAGATCAGTTGTCCTGACTGCTGGCACACCTGCCCCATGCTGGAGATGCTGGAAGCTGTGTGGTCCCTCAGCTGGAGCCGGTCTGCTGGTGATCCCTCCCAGAGTCCTGTTTGGTAGCAAGCGCCAGCAGCGGCATAGGCAAATTGGCACCACTGCCCATTCATGCTGGAGGTGGCAGTAAAAGTGACAAGAACATCCGTCTCACTCTGCTGAAATGCCCTGTCCTGGGAGTTTGTCACTCAGCACAGATTTCAGAATCAGAAAAATGTTTCTAGCTCAGATAACACTGATGTAGAAAACAAACCCAGAAAGAGAAGGATGGGGAGGTTATTATATATCATGGAAGCTCCTCTTTTTGGCTAGCTCTTCTAAAGGGTGAAAAACAACTCCACAGTACCTGGGGTTTGACAACATGCCCTCTGCTTGGCCCTGAAGCTCCCATGCCATCTTTCAGTTCCTCCTCTAAGGACCCAAGAGTTTTCCAGTATGTCATAAAATCACTCTTGGCTCTTCCAAATTAGTTTGGACACAACTGATTTCAATTAAACAAGGCTTCCAGTAATGTATTTCAAACACTTTTGCTCGAATATGTAATGAGTAAAAATGGCTAAGAGGAGCGACAGTGACCTACTTGGGGAATTTCTCCTGCAAGGGAAATAAATAGAAGGTTGTTAGATACTTTTGCACTGCATAATCAGTTTGCACTGTTAGTATCCCCAGACAGTGGTATGTGTGTAAGAGGGTGCTGCAGTTGGGATCATTACTCCTCACCAGCAATGGCTGCAGCAGCATCTTTCTGACACCACTTTCCCACAAGAAACCCAGAGGAAAGAACAGTGATAGATCATAAAACTGCTGTGAGCATGAAGTTACTGCCCCTTCCAGAGAGCCTGACCTCCACAAGCAAAGCCTCTCTCTCCAGCCCCTGAAGGCACAGTTAACAAACTTCAAGTCCCTGTCTTTGCAGTGAGAGTGCTTTCCTGGAAATGGGGACCTGGATCCTACCCCAACTCTAATAGCTATCCACAGATTTTACATGAAACAACCATTGGGTAAAACACAGAAACATCCAGTGAGCAGAAGGATGTGGTGCTGCCGGCAGTGAATCCCCAGCAGTCCTTCCTCCACCCCACACATCCCCCCTCCTGACCTGCAGAAAAACAGACATCTTCCTGCTGCACGTTTCTTATTTTGGTACCAGTTCTGAGCCACCTCCTCCTCCCTGGGCTTCTCTCCTGCACCCTCCCTAGGAGGGCGTCTTTGGCTAGCAAACCCCCTTGTGCTGGGCTCCTCCAGGAACAGAAGGACGCTTTCATGAGGAACATGTGCATCATGAATCTGCAGGAAAAATATCCATATGCTGTAGCACAACCCGAGATTTCAAAACAGAAGCTCTTCCTGCATCAGAGTTGAAGCAAAGCTTTGAAGGCTTTTTTGCGGTGCAAGATCTGCCACTAACTGGGAGGTGCAGAATGGGTAGGAACTGGGTCCAAGTCTTTCACCAACAAGCAGAAAAAAAAAAAAAACCTCCACAAAAATATATATCTATATATCTATGATGTCATTTACCTACATTTGAAAACTGCCCTCATTTCTTGGCACTTGAACCACATCTGTCTTCATAACAGCGACTTTCCGTCTTCCACTTCAATACATTTAATTCTTTAGTGTTCTGGTATCAGCAAGGACATTAAAACTATTACAAAACATGTCAGTAAAACATATGTCCATTACATAAATTTATATGAATGCAGTGGGACTAAAAGCTGTGCCATTATGTTAATACTATTGAAAACACATATCTATATGTATAGATGTGCGTGTGTTAGTAGCTATATTGATACAGTAAGTGTATGTGTGAAATCCAGCCCACTGCTGTCAGTAGCAAAACTCCCTGTGGATCCAAAATTATACAGAACTTCATCTTATAAGCAGATTTACAGGTATTCTAGTTGAGATGTTGAAGACCACCAGGAGAATTTGGCATCCAAATTCCATATGCAACTTCAAAAGTCTATGCTTTGAAAATCTGGGTGTATAGTCAATTACATTGGTTGGCAAACACAACTGTAGGTTGCTGCCAAATTATTGTTTAGCTACAAATAATTGTACGTGCACACTCCTATGAACTTTATTTATGAACATGTTTTTCCAAAAGCACAACTTTGGGTGCAGATGCACACCTCCCATCCTGACAATTCAGTCCTTACCTTGTACCTGCTATTTAGCCCTTAAAATCCCACACACAGCAAACAAACAAAAAAGAATTAAAAAGGTTCTCCCCAGACTTCCCCTGGAGCAATATCCAAAATACACTGTTTGGTTTATCCCTGATGAAATCTTGAAATCAAACAAGCAAACCCCTTAAATGAGCTTCCCAGGTCTGAGCAGATACAGCTTAATTTGCCACAGTCCTTTGTGAAGCTGCTGTTCCAGGGAAAGCAGCAGGTCTTGATCTTGGCCTCTAACAGATGGCCCCAACAATATGACAGTAATAGCATCTGACATGTGTTGTTTCAATGATCTCTCTATCTTTCGGAGAAGTATGCAAGCGTTACATACCGTGTGCTGCTTCAGATTGTTATTTTTGGCATGCTTCTGCTGGCATATGTTATGATGAACCATTCACAACATCTTACATTTCCATCATAAAATAAAGAGGAAATAAGAGAGTAGGTCCGTAAGACTATCATTCAACCCTGTTCCCAAGGTAATATTTCCTTTGCATAAGGGTCAGCTCCAAAGAAACCAAAACCCAAACTGCATATTGAGGGATTAGCTGTATTCCAGAAACTAGAGTCCTGGGGATGGTACAGAGACAGGTTGATGGAAATATTTATGGCCTGGCTCTCAGTGTGTTTCAGTGACACATAATCAGTTTTCTACAGTGTGCATCAAACAGTGGCAAACTACAGTCTGAGTGGCACCTGGTAATTAGGGGGCTATGAGGAGGGGAACGGAGGTAAGTCAGAAAGCACTGAGTGTCCCATCAAAGCGGAGTTTACCTGATAATTACAGGGGTAATGAACATTTCCCCTTCCAAGCCCAGAGGATTTTCTTAAGGAACTTGTGATTTTACTCATTGCCAGGTTTAACAAAACAGGATTTCAGGCAGTGAAATGCTGTCAAGTGCAAGTAGCAAAATCTAGCTAAAGCAGAAACATCAATGATTTTCACTGAGTGCAAGTCATTGACATGTCTTAGCATCATAAACCACTCCTGATTGCTTTACTTCACAAATGAGCTGCTGCCAAATAGAGGACAGAGGGCCACAGGGAAACCCATCTCAGCTGCTTTCCTCAATTTGCAGTTACACCCCAGACCATTTTTCCTCCTTAAAAGCTTATCTAGCTCCTCATAAAATTATTTGTTATTGCTATGTGGGCTGTTTATTCAGTCGATGGAGGACAGGCTCCAACAGCCCTCACTCCTTACCCCTCACCCCTCCAGGCCCTTCCCTCTCCTTGACTTCAGTCAGTGCTGCCTTTTCCTCTGGCTTGGCTCAGCCTCACTCAGCTCCCACAGCCCCATTTCTCCCCCACAGTCCTGTGCCTTTTTTAAGCCACCTCTTCTCCAAAGAAGCAGGGACTCCTTTTAGTGCCTCTGAAGGGGCTTTTAAGCACAGAGGTGTGAAAAAGCTACAACACAGAGACAGAGGTGAAAAAAAAAACCACGAGGTTTGGTTGTTCAAGTTTAAAAGAAGAAAGCCAAACATTTTGCAGCATAGCCTTGAATTTTTCTCTGCAGGAAGAGGAAAGCTGCATGCATCTGTAACAAAGGTGCCAAAACTTGTGCAAAGCTGCATCATTTGCACCAGAAGCATTAGAGATGTTTCAGGAGTCATAGCCCTCAAAAGTGACTACATCTCTCCCATTCTGGCTATAGGCCATGAGAGGGGCTTAGAAAAAAATGGAGACTAAGAACGGAGAATCCCAGCCAAATGACATGGAGAAGAATGTCTGACTGCAGTGTGCTGAAAACCTGCTGGGAAAAGGCAAGGGGGAAAGCAGGGAAGAGGCCACTGTGATGGAGACAAGGGCAAATGCAGACTGGAGCTCTTTGGATACAGGACAGACAGGGGAAGACATGAGTCTCCATGAAGCCGCTGGGGTGTCAATACCAATGCCAGCATCTCCAATTAACAGCACTCAGGCTATTTAAACATACTCACTTGCACTGGTATCCATGATGGCTCAGACTACTACAGCAGAAAGAGTGGGACAAGGAAGAAGGATGAGAGGCAACCAGCCTGCTCTGCAGGAGGGACAATCTCTGGGGAAAGACTTCTGTCTTTGGCATCAGTGCAACAGAAGTGGCTGCCCTCAGGGGTTGGGCGTTGTGATGGGTGAGACAAACAAAGCTCCAGCTCCCATTTCTTCTGCAGTCACCAGAGGGGCTCGTCACCCATATGCAGAAGACATCTGATGCCTTCTTCCTTTCTGTATCATTGTTCTTCTTTCCTGTGCTTTTATTTCCCTGCACATCTCAGCATGCCCCTTCCAAACCTCCAGATAAAACACTCAGCAATAAAGCAAGTGGCACTGACATTGAGTGAAACCAAGGAGTGCGAAGCTGGCACTTCACTGAGATGAATGAAGTGGAAAGGTTCATGCTTTTTGGTTAAGGCTGCCTGCAGACAGACAGAAAACATTAGGTTAATTAGGCTGGGACTTTTTTTTTTGGCAAACAGTTAGAAATTCACTAGTTTTAACAGATTTGGTACTCCGTGATGCACTCACACCAGTCTTTTTAACTCAACTCGCTTAGACACAAGGGAGTTATTTTACATGAAATTATAGAGCAAAACTGACATTTCTCCCTAAACTAAAGGAACATTTCCAAACAGCTCCAATCCACGCTCATCTTTACAGTTCAGTACTCACTTAAGAGCTGTTCTAGTTTGGGTAATATCTTTGCAGAAAATGGTACAGTCAGACTCCATATTTACAATTTTTCCAGACTTGCACATCTACTCACCTTGTTAAAAGTTAAAAGGAATTCATTGCTTTTTCCCAGACTACTTGTCCTCCAAATTCAGCCTGGAACCTAAAATTCAAAAAAAAAAAAAAGCAAAAAAAAAAAGCTATTGTAGCTGGTTTTTCACTATCTATCTCAGACATCATCAGTAATAAGCACATAAAATGCAATATCATGAGTTTTAACCATCTTAGCCATTGCTGTGGTGTCCCAAGGGTATGTGGGAAGACTACAGCCAGCCTGTAGATCCTATCTGTACAGGTTCAAGGGGGCACTTGTAGTCCCACCATCACTGTGCCTGTCTGCTGCCACTTGCCTGTTAGCACAGGTAGTGCCATGGAGCCTGCCATATTGACAGCCACCCTCTTTTCCCCTGAAATAAAGGGTTATCACTTTCTCCTTTGGTCACAAAGGAGGCAAAAAAACCAATATCTCCATTAAATAACATAGAGACTTCACTTCTCTTTTTTTAATCAGGGTAAGATAGCTCTTGTGCTAACTCAAATTCCCACTGTACCTCTGAGAGGAATACTCACTCTAAGTAGTGGTAGTTAAGCTAAGGAGAAAGTAAAATCCAAATAACTTTGTCCTAACACTGGGCTTCATCTTGCTCCCTCCAGTTCTTGACGCACAGAGCCTGAGTTCTTAGCAGATGGACCATGCATCAGCAGCTGCAATGTCCAGCCTAGAGAAGAGGTGCTTGACTCTCTTCTTTCAGGCAGAAAACCTTTTATAGCTTTGGTCAGCTCTGCTTCCAGAAGGCCACTGAATTTTGGAGGACGGGAGAAAGGAGTTTCCCTGCCTGAGTTTTAAAAGGAGCAGACAACACTCTCCTGATTTTGTGAAATTAGTCTTCCTAGTCCCAATCAACTGCTCATGACTTCCAGGAGACTTGCTCAGGGAAACGCCTGATTGGAAATCACAGCCAGACTTAGGCAGCTGCTGAGTGATGACAGTGGCAACTCTGGGTCTTTCCAGAGATTTAAGAACAGGGAAATGCCAGAGTTAATCCTTATGGCACTTAAAGAATTCATATATCTTTAGTAAGCAGGAAAAGAGGTTGTGTTTTCCATGTTTTTTGACTTAGATGTCTACACTTTGCCTAAACAATACTTTCATGCCCTCTTTTTTGGCACTGATGCCTAAATTCAGGAAAAGACCTGCTGAAGACATTGGGTTATTTTCCTACTAACTGGGTACCCCTTTAATTAACTCCTATATAAATAGAAAATTGACAGCCTGATGTCATGCCTGATGTTGATGCTGGTGATATTAAGGTTGATTTTAAGTGGCTCTCCATTCTGTAATGAGGCTGGTACTCTATTCAGTTCCTGGTGAAAGCTAGAGAGCAGGAAAGATTAGGCTGGTGGAAGATGAAAATGTTACTGGGAAAAGCACTCAAGGAACATTATAAACAACCTTTGGATAGAAGGAGCCTTACTTCGGTTTGCAGCCGAAAGGCCCAGTTAGATGCTCAACCAGCACCTGGCAATCATGTAGCTGCATTAGCTGGCATGGGGTCTCTCAACTCCAGCTGGTCAGGAGCTTGCAAAATGACTGTCCATTACATTTATTATCTCCTGATTATTCTATTTACAACACATGCTCTCCCCAGGGGGCCCCCTGGACAAGCTGCTGCAGAATCACTGTATGCAGCAGTTGTACTGTGGAGGCTCCTACTGTAAGCACTTGCCTTCAGCACTCAAGAATCTGTACTGGCAAGCTGTTAGTTTTCACCTATAATTACCCAAATGGTTTGGGATCTCCCTGTCTGTGAGACACTTCTCTCCTCAGGTAATCAGACTGTCACACTGGCACTCAGAGGATATGCTCAAGCTGTTGCCTTGCCAGTTTAAGAAAGAGCAGGACCTGCTTGCAACGATTTTGCTGAAGAGGGCTCCAAGCTTTGAGGTATTTTCCCTTAGCTTTAACAGAAAGGTAAAATTCCATGGAATCTCTTGACTTTTACAAGTACCTCATAAAATCTAACAAAGCTTCTGCAGTGATGATAGCAGTGGTAAAGAGGAGGCATGAAATCAGTATTTGTGAGTTGGACACATCACTGCTTATCTGCATTTCACTACTCAGCACTTAATCTGTAAATAAAAAGGACATCACTGGATTATGGATCCAAATCAGAAAAAAATAAAGGACTGTATCTTTTCTGAGAACTTTAAGGAGAGTGGGGGAGGAAGAGAACACAGGTTCCTGACAGAAATACATCAAATCAATGGCAAGACTTGCACTGTGGCAAAAAGATTTTGCACTTCTGAGCAGGACAGAAGAGCCCTCCACATTTTCATTAACAAATGAACTCGTCACCTACTATTTCCAAACAATTCACCCACAGCATTCAGATCAACCACCCAAATTATCAACACTGTGAGAACAAAAAAATGCAGCTCAAGCTTAATTTCTTTCACTTTTTTTTCCTTTGTAAAGCACCACACATCTCAGCCTGATTTTCATTTTGCCTACAACTCTCTACCTGATTTACATTCACATGCCAATATGCCTGCCATCAAATTTGCTCACACCATTTCCTTGTAGACCCCAAGAGCTGAGCACAGAAAGTTAATGTTGGTAGTTTAATGCCTTGAGACGGAGAATTAAAAGCTGTTCTCCTGGCATCAAATTAACCCCAGCTTTTTTGAATATAAAGTATATAGCAAGGGGCGACTCCCTTGGTCTTTATCAAATGGGTGAAATATGCCCACATGCACAGAGACTGAGAGTAACATGAATTTACATAAAGCAATATGGACCTGTGTGGAAGAGCGGGTTGTATGAGGGAATACAAGGACCAACGCACACTGCCCACGCGCAATCATTATTCTGTAGGAATGGTCACATTTTTTCCATGTGATGGATGAACAGCAGATTGTGTTTTGATACTGATTTTGGAACAGACCATTGAAATTAGCTAGTGGGGTCAAAGAGAATGGGGATATGAACTTACTGACTCCAGATAACAATACCCTCAGTTTCTACCTCATCCATAAAGCTATATTCTTGGTGTATGTCCTACTTCATCACCTCCAGAAGTCCAGGAGAATGAGGTTCCATCTGTGGTTTTCATAGAATCACAGAATAGTTAGGGTTGGAAAGGACCTTAAGATTATCTAGTTCCAACCCCCCTGCCATGGGCAGGGATACCTCACACGAAACCATACCACTCAAGGCTCTGTCTAACCTGGCCTTGAACACTGCAGGGATGGAGCATTCACAACCTCCCTGGACTACCCATTCCAGTGCCTCACCACCCTTACAGTCACGAACTTCTTCCTTATATCCAATCTAAACTTCCGCTGTTTAAGTTTGAACCCATTACCCCTTGTCCCATCACTATAGTCCTAATGAAGAGTCCCTCCCCAGCATCTCTATAGGCCCCCTTCAGATATGGAAGGCTGCTATGAGGTCTCCACGCAGCCTTCTCTTCTCCAGGCTGAACAGCCCCAACTTCCTGGAAGCTCCCCTGTGCCACTGCCCTGTGTGGCCTCCCCACACCCCAGCACGGCCTTTCTTCCTCCTTCTCCCTCCAGGCTCATGTGTCTGCCAGCTAATAAAGTAGGGCTGTCACCTTGACAGGGTCAGGAGTGCTGGAGACACCCTGTGCTGGAGTACGAGGGCATTCACATGAGGAGGGGGGAGAGAAGAAGGAAGTCCTGGTGCCTCCCTGCGCTGTGGCACCTACCACAGGTGTAAAACCTGGCCTCTCCTTCCCCTGCTGCCTGACCAGAGCAGACAGGGAGCAAGAATTAAACGCCACCCATCCTTTGCATGGGTACGGCTGTAGCTGATGGTTGCACAATACCAAAACACAGCCTGTGGCTCTGCCTCCTCACACTCCCGCACACACGTCAGCCCGGAGCTGTCACTCAGGCAAATATTTTCCTGGCCTTGCCCCAAGCCGGTGACTGACTTCCAAGGACTCCCACTAGGAGAGCCCCCTGGGTGCAGCCCACGGATGTGAGCAGCCCCTTGTCATCAGCAGTTCCCTGGGGTTAATTACCCCTTTTAACACAGCAGCTGTAGATTCTTCAGGGTTGTATAAACAATGCCTGTCTCCTTATCTATTGAAGCTCCAATCTGGCCCCTCATCAACATACTTTCTGGGCTGTAATTATAACATTATTAATGGTTATCCATCCTCTGCGAAGGAAAGTAATCTTGACTACACCAGTTAATCAATACTTGGACAAATGAACTAAGCTTTTCCTTGGGCCAGGACAAGTAATTGTAATTATGAGATGTGATCAGCTGGTGAAGTACAGCTACTAACATGTATCAGCCAAGTGAAGCTTAAGTATCTACCAAAAGACTGGTTTCACAGAGGCAGTATTTCTTTAAGTGTAGTTAAGCACTTGTCAGGAATCATTAGCTTTAGCTAATCAGTTATCATCCTAAGGAATGACAAGTGAGAGTCTAGTGGACTGACTGTCGAGGTCCCTTGTTGGCACCATTGTCCATCTGTCCATGTGAGCACTGAGCAGAAGGCACAGCATTCACAGTGAGGTCGCAGGGCATCAAAGGAAAAGGCATCAGAAGGCAGGGTGGATACGGACCAAAGAAAACAGTAATTTGCTACAAGTCTTGAACACTTTGAGGCATCTGGTAGTCAGTATGGGTTAGTTACGTTATGCTTGCTCTGTTTTCTGCAGAAGAACCGCATGTGCAACTTTGCAGAACCCTGGGCAGCAATTACAGCATAGGAGACCATGGAAAAATCTGCTCAGAAAATAATCTGGCCTCTTTTCAATTTACATGTAGATACATACACACACTGAAAAACTGTATTGCCTAGCTGAGGAGCCACACACTAGATTAATGAGGGTAAATAGTAATTTAAACACAGAAGGGAAGGAGGGCAATAAAATACCAGTTTGCTTGTTTGCTTTAGTGTTCTAATAAGACTAGAATAAGTAGTTTTTGTTTAGGGCTTTACAGATCCCAGTACTGGGAAATGCCCAACAGTGAAAGATGTGTGCAGGCTGCAAACACTCAGGCAAATGTGTGAATGTAGATGTACTGTCTGTCATCTTAGCACAAAACGTTGTACAGGGATCTGCAAGAAATAAAGGTCCTTTTTACAGCAGCAAAGATGAAGCCATCATCTGAAAGGGAAACACAAGTCATCTTTCACCATGCTGTAGCACTTCAGGCAACTGAAAGTAAGGTTAAAGATGGAATCAAAGGGCACAGATGCTGTCTATAACAACTTCTGGGGTGAGACTGCCAGAGAGGCTGGCCAGGAGAGCAGTCACTCTCTTGAACTCGGTGATGCTGGAAATTGAAGTTTTTTGTTTGCGCTACTTGTTTACCAGCAAAAGGAAAACCAGTTTATGGTTTCTTTCCCTTATGCTATGCCCAGTAGAAAGCAGAAACTCGGGAATTCAAGGGAATCCAGAGAAATCTCCTGTAGCTCCTTAGTAACAGCAATGGCTTTGTGCAAATTTTGCTCAGACCTCCTAAGACAGCCTTAGGAGCCACTGTGATCTATACTAGCTCAAAGAGTCACCTAACTGCCAATGACCATCACAGCAAGGAGACATATTCCTCCTGCTCCTCGAGATGTGTGATTTATTCCAGAGCTAATCAAAATGGCAGATTTCACTTAAGCTCAGACCCCTGACAAGGTTTGCCTGGAACTTAA